CTTGTTGAACACATCCTGCCAGCCACGGGTGGAAACTAAAAAAAGAGACACCGGCCTTAGTTCAGATCTAAGAACAGCTGAGGGGTTTTGTTTCACCCTCGCTGACTAGTGCTCTCCCTTGGTTTGGGATGAATCAGAAATTAATCTCTTGATTTCTCATTGGTGGCAAAGTCAGTCTAAGTGTCACATGGCGTGTCTGAGGAGAGCAGATTTCTGTATTTGTAGCATTCTCTGTCCTGTTTTATTGGGTCAGTTCCTTGTTTTGAAATGGCATTTCTTCTTTCCACTCAGGTTTGATTGTCTAACTTTTTTTCCAGAGAGGATCGTCTGGGGAAGAACGAGTGAAACAGGACTATGTAAAAAAGTGGTGGAAAGCAATAACAACCTCCGCAGGAGAGATGATGATGGAGATCAAGATGAAATGAGGGGAAAAGTGGGAGACCAAAGAAACGAGGGGAGGAATGGCTGTCTGGATGGGGATTTAAGTGAAGGATTGGCCCACCAGACCCCAATTGATGACGAGAGAAGGAAGGAGAGGCCTGACTGTGAGAATAGCATCTCTCATACATCGGCAGTGGGTCACCCTCAGAACAGTCCCGCGGGGGAGAAACCGTTTAAATGTGCAGATTGTGGCCTCGGCTTCAGAAAGCAGAGGGAGCTCACCTCCCATCAAAGGATCCACACAGGAGAGAAACCCTTTCAGTGCCAGAAGTGTGGAAAAAGCTTCAGTTTTAAGAGAAACCTTATCACCCACGAAAGTATACACACAGGGGAGAAGAGACATAAATGCCCGGAGTGTGGGAGAAGCTTCCGCCAGCGTCAGAGCCTCACCTGCCACCAGAGAATTCATACAGGGGAGAAGCCCTATAAATGTCTGGAGTGTGGAAAGAGTTTCAGAGTTAGTCCGCATCTTATTTCACATCAGAGGATGCACACAGGGGAGAAACCTTTCAAATGCCTGGAGTGCGGGAAGACCTTCAGACGAAACCAACAACTCATCCCACATCAGCGAATACATACAGGGGAAAAACCTTTCAAATGCCAAGAGTGTGGGAAGAGCTTCCATTACAGCACAGCCCTTACCTCCCACCAAAGGATCCACACGGGGGAGAAACCCTTTAAATGTCAAGAATGTGGGAAGAGTTTCCACCAGAGCGGCCATCTTAGAGTACATCAAAGCATACACACAGGGGAAAAACCATTCAAGTGCCTCGAGTGTGGGAAGAGCTTCAGAGAATCCACAAGCTTTCACTACCATCAAATAGTCCATAAAGGGGAGAAGCCATTTAAATGCCTGGAGTGTGGGAATAGCTTCAGGCAGAAAGGAGCCCTTAACGCCCATCAGAGAATCCACACAGGTGAAAAATTGTTTAAGTGCCTGGAGTGTGGAAAGAGCTTTTGCCGGAGTCAAAGTCTGACCTATCATCAAAGAATCCACACCGGGGAGAAGCCATTCACATGCTTAGAGTGCGGAAAGAGTTTCAGCAGCCCCTCATATCTTACTTCCCACCAGAGAATCCACACAGGGGAAAAACCATACCAGTGTACGGAGTGTGGAAAGAACTTCAGAGAAAGTCACCAGCTTATCCTGCATCAAAGAATCCACACAGGGGAGAAGCCATTCACATGCTTAGAGTGTGGAAAAAGTTTCAGCAGCCCCTCATATCTTACTTCCCACCAGAGAATCCACACAGGGGAAAAACCATACCAGTGTACGGAGTGTGGAAAGAACTTCAGAGAAAGTCACCAGCTTATCCTGCATCAAAGAATCCACACAGGGGAGAAACCCTTTAGATGTTCGGTATGTGGGAAAAGTTTTAGCTGTAGCACATACCTGACCCGCCATCAAAGGACCCACACAGGGGAGAAACCCTACAAATGCCTGGAGTGTGGGAAAACTTTCCTTCAGAATGGGGAACTCACTGTACATCAAAGGACGCACACCGGGGAGAAACCCTTCAAATGCCAGGAATGTGGGAAAAACTTCACATGCAGCTCGCATCTTACACTCCACCAGCGAATCCACACTGGGGAAAAACCCTACAAATGCCAGGAGTGTGGGAAAAGCTTCACGGAGAGCACAGGCTTTAACTACCATCAGAGAATGCACAGAGGAGAGAAACCCTTCAAATGCCTGGAGTGTGGGAAAAGCTTCAGGAGAAGTCAGCAGCTGATCTCCCATGAGAGAATCCACACCGGAGAGAAGCCCTTTAAATGCCAGCAGTGTGGGAAAAGTTTTCGTTACAGCCCAACCCTGATCTCTCACCAAAGGACACACACAGGGGAGAAACCTTTTAAATGCCAGGAGTGTGGGAAAAGTTTCTGTTACAGCCGAAGCCTCACCTGCCACCAACGGACGCACACGGGGGAGAACCTCTTTAAATGCCCGGAGTGCGGGAAGAGCTTTAATCGCAGGACTAACCTGACATCCCACCAAAGAATCCACACAGGGGAGAAGCCCTTTCAGTGCCAGGAGTGTGGAAAGAGTTTCACCCAAAGTGCAAACCTTAGCAGCCACCAAAGAGTACACACTGGGGAGAAACCCTTAAAATGCCAGTAATGAGGAAGGAGACCCCATAACAGCAAAAGGTGTACTGACTATCAACAAGGGCATAATATGGCAGGGTGGGAGAAGACTTTCAGGGCAACGAGAATGGAAAGAGAAATAGAACACACTGGAAGGAAGACACACAGATGCCTTACACGTGGCAAAATTTTAGTCAGCTCTCTTCCTGTTGACCGAGAGAGTCCGTGATGAGGAGAAGACAGACAGTCTGTGGCATGTGGAACGACCCTCTGATGGAAGGATTGAGGTCAAAGGGTTCCTGTTGGGGAAAATTGAAGGAGATTCTCCCAATATAACAATAATAATCATCACCTTAGAATTAAATAGCTGGAAGGAACCCTATGGATAGTATTTTCATAAACTCGACATAAAGAAGCATCACTGAATTCACGTAGAGGAAAGCCATGTGTAAGTGATTCATCCATAATTTTGGTAATCAAAATGGCCGCATGTCAGCTTCAAAATTCAGGTGGGTTGATAATAGCATGTAGGTAGAGAATCCGTATAAATGCGTTAAATATTTATTTAAAAACTACAACTCCAGAATTTCGGGAATAGTCTCTTGAAAAAGTTTTATTCCCCCTCCCCCATCAAACTCTGTGTCTTGCATTTTTTTACCCTATTTTATGCAAAAGACATCGACCAGAATTTCTTATTAGTGTTTTCCTAAGCTTTGTGCAGAGTGCTGGCTAATTGCAGCTAATCGGCTAGGTGCTAGGATGTGTCTTGTCATGTGCCTGCGTGTGCACCCGAGTGTGTTAATAATAATTGTGTGCTGCCATGTTTCTTCTGATTCATGGCAACCCCTTTTCCAGGGTTTTTTAGGTAGAGAGTACTCAGAAGTGGTCTCCCATTCCCTTTTTCTGTGGGAGACCTGGACCTGTGTAAGTTTCGCCCAAGGCCACGTAGGCAGGCTCTACTCCCAGGAGACACAGTGGAGAATCAAATTCCCAAGCCAGATACACAAACCTTGTGCAACCGTCAATTGTATAGTAAATGGGACAGAGTGGGGTGAAAAAGTTCAGTTAGAAGACTCCCCCGAGGTTTTCAGCATGTACTCTTCAGGTCTAGTGCTATGTCATTTCCTCCCTTCATTGGTAAATAAATTCATCTCTAGTTCCTGTCAGCAATTTTTATCATTAGTGTTCAAGCCAGGAGCGTAGAAGAGAATTGGAATGTAGTTCTCATTTTTGCATCTAGCTTGGGCATCACATCCAGAGGGACTCTGAGAAAAAAGAAATGCAAAGAAGGAACTAATAGAGGGAAGAGCACAGAGTTGCAGAAAGATAGAGCCGGAAACGGTCTCAAAGGTCATCTAGTTCAGTGGTCCACAACTTTGGGCCTCCATATGTTCTTGGACTTCAACTCCCAGAAATCCTGGCCAGCAGAGGTGGTGGTGAAGGCTTCTGGGAGTTTTAGTTCAGGAACATCTGGGGGCCACTGATCTTGTTCAGCCCCAGTTGAAGCAGGAAACATGGCAAGAGAGATGATGAGAAAGCTTTAGAATTTCACAGGTTTTTAAGGGTGGAGGTGTATAGGCTGTGGGTGTGTGGTGGGCACAAGGAAAGAGAAGTTGATAATGAGGCCAAGAGGAGGGCAGTTATTAAAGAAACATAAAACCCAAATAGCTTCCTATTTCTTTCTCCGGGGGGCGCCCTAGGACTCAGCAGCTTGCTGATGGACGCTTCACCCCTACAGCAAAGAGTTCCACCATTAGGAGAGTGGTTTGTAGTTGCCACTTGCATGTGTAATAGTGTGATGGTTCCAATAAACTTGTGTACTCAGTTCTAAAGCCTCTGTGCTGTTCAATCCATGCCAGGGTTTCCTTTTATATAGAGCAGAGTTGTGGTTCCGAGAGCCTGGTTTTAAAGTTATTCTAGGTAGGGACCAGAATCAACAAAAAGCACATGTAGGTATCATACAGTGGTGCCTCGCTTGACGAGGATAATTCATTCTGTTGAAATCGCTGTTAAGTGAAATCCTCGTCAAGCGAAACGAAAAACCCAATTGAAATGCATTGAAACCGGCTAAATACCTCAGCGTCCAGCGAAGATACTCCTTAGGATGGCCATTTTCAGTGCCTGTAAAGCGAGGAATCCGTCCTGAAAACACAGCGGGGAGCCATTTTGCACAGGGGGCGGCCGTTTTAGAGCTGCCGATAAGCTGTTTCGAAATCGTCGTTTAGTGAAAAATCAGTTCCCGAAGCAGGGAACTGATCATTGTTAAGCAAATTTTTGCCATTAAAACATTGTTTCGCAATCGCAAAAGCGATCACAAAAACTTCATTGTCAAGCAGTTTCGTCGTTTAACGAGGTAATTGTTAAGCGAGGCACCACTGTATTTTCCATAACTCTCCCCCATGGACAGATGGGATTCTGTCCACAAAAGTAACATTTTCAGGCTATGCTTAGAGTTTAGTACCATAGATTTGACTTGGGTCAAGAGCCTTGCTACATCGGGGGTCCAAAGTGTTGGCCCCAGATTTGCTCCCCAGAACCCTGAGTGTCCATGGGGACCCATGGAAGTCTTTCTTTAACCTCATTACTATACTGGAGGGATGTTCAAAGATTGTAATTGGGAAACTCAGACGTGACGGTTCAACAAGAATTAAAACGGAAGCTTTTATTGTAAGCTTAATTATACAAGACAGATCCAGTTTTCCTGTGGAAGAAAATGAGAGAAAACTGGAACATTTCCAAACTTTTCTCCAATCCATTCCCCCCTCTCAGATTTTTGGGGCTGCAAAAATCATCAGATCAGTCCAGAATTTGCCATATTGACTCAGGGAAATGGTTTTATATTCCAAAGTAATGTGAAGAGCCTTAGTTAAACACCTCAGCCCACAGCTGGGGTAACATGGGCAGTATACAGTTCTCCCATTCCCCCCTCTCAGATTTTTGGGGCTGCAAAAATCCCATCATCAGTCCAGAATTTGCCATATTGACTCAGGGAAATGGTTTTATATTCCAAAGTAATGTGAAGAGCCTTAGTTAAACACCTCAGCCCACAGCTGGGGTAACATGGGCAGTTATGCATACAGTTCTCCTCCAAAACTCTGTTTATAAAGGATTAGTGTTTTTTTGTCAGCTTTCACATCGGTACCTAACAATCGGAAATATGATCGCATGGATGATCTTGGCCTTGGTTTCCAGTAAAACATCCTGAGACTTAAGGCTGGTTATTGTTGGTTGTTGTGGATTTTTCGGGCTCTTTGGCCATGTTCTGAAGGTTGTTCTTCCTAATGTTTCACCAGTCTCTGTGGCCGGCATCTTCAGAGACTGGCAAAACTTTAGGAAGAACAACCTCCATGGCCAAAGAGCCCGAAAAACCCACGACAACCATTAGATCCCGGCCGTGAAAGCCTTCGCGAATACACTGGTCATTGTTATTAAAAGCTTAAAATGCACAAATATATCAAGGGGTGACTTTTCTTGATTTCTCAGAAAAGGAAGCCACAGTCCCCAATACCCTTCTAAGTACGAGAAAAGACATTTCTTCCAAATAAATGGGGAAGCCCTTTCAGGCAAAAGTTACATCCTCCTGATGTAACTGTTGTCCTCCACATCCTTTGGCCCAGCAGCCGGAACATGGAAGGGAAACTCAGCAAAATTACCTCTCCTTGTCCCTTATCTATGAACAACCCTGGCTGTGGATTATGGGAACCTATGGTCCCAAACAAAACAGCTGGTGGACCACTGTTGTGTATGAGACCACATGGGGCTCGATCCAAGTAGGTGAGGTAAACGTGGGAAACCCCCCGCCCCATACTTATGGCAGGGGTGGGCAACTCCTGGTGCACAGGCTGTATACACCCAGAGCTTAGAAATGTTATCTTTGGTTTATTTTTCCCTACTACAATTCCCAGAACCCCCAGCCAGCATGACGCTAGGTGCTGTATCTCAAAACGCCAGCCTCGAAGCCTAATTTTCCAGACTACAACTCCCATCGCCCGAATCCCTGCTTGCTAGGGATTCTGGGAGTTGTAGGTTTTTTTTTTTTAAGGATTTTGAAACTCTCCTCACAAAAACTTGGGAAAGTTCCTTTTTAGACTACAGCTCCCTAAACTGTAGCCAGTGGTCACCGTGGCTGGAAGATTTATGGGAGTTGTAGTCCAGAAGAAAATATGACTCTGAACACCCCATTCAGATTCCCGTCTCCGAAGGAGGGACTTTTAGGGGAGCAGCATTTCCGGTGAAAGAGGTCTCCCTCTTCCTCTTCCCTATTTCCTGCCTCTCTAGGAACTTCGCGTTCCGCTGCTTTTAACCCTCACAAAGCGAAGCGCTCAGATTTTTGTCCGATTCGTTCAAAGGAGGACAAACGAAGAAAAAAAAATCACTGGCGTTTCATCCAAATCACTTTTATGCATCTTGTTTTGCACGCCCTCAGTGCAATTGCAACCAGCTCGTGCTTTTTAAATATTATTTCCTGGACTTCTTTTGAGCATTTCTGCTGAATGAAATTGCAACCTATTGTGCGCATTGTTGTTTTTTTGCTTAATTATAAAGAAAATCAAGAAGTTGGTGTCTCTGAACAAGCTGTTCGTGGCAGGGCGGTTCAAAACCTTCATGGGCAAAGGAGGTAAGGCAAGTCAGCCCAGGAGAGCTTAAAATTTTGAGTGCGTGGGTCCATGGGGAAAAACCACCAGTGGAATGGGTAAGAGTAAGACGCTTTGCGATCAATGGGTTTTACTCCCAAGTAGGATAGCAGCCCTGTTCTTAAGAGAAATGGAAAAAAAATCCAGTCTTCTGAGAGATTGGGTGCAGGCATGAAAAGAGTGTATATAACTGGAAATATACTCCTGGTTGAAAAATCCCCTAGATCAAATCAGTGGTCAATGAAAAAGTGGCCAAGATCAGGGTTCGAATCTCTGCCCAGCCATGGTAACTCACTGGGGTGGGATGGGGGTGGCCGTAGTAAGTAGGAACATCCCACATACCCATTAGAGTT